TAATAGTTTAATTTAATAGTGCTAATTTAATAGTGCTATTTTGATCCTGAGATCAAAATTTCTCAATAGAAAAAAGTGCCATGAACCATTAGTGATGTTGGCCAAGGGTGCAAAATAGGAGAACAGGGCCATATGTGCTAATATTAGTCACTTTTAGAACATCCAGTCTAACGGTCTTTCAGAGAGCTTATCACTTACCAAGTCAACTTACTACTTCTTCAGACAGCTCTGTCTATTAAGTTATTTCTTATCTTTTGAGCTGAAATCTTATTTTCTGCAGCTTACAACCGCATGACATAATGACAACTCTAGTTCCATTATAACTTGACAGTGTTAACTTGAACTATTTGGGACAGTTCTCTTGTCCTTGCCAAGTCTAAAACATCACCCGTCTCTGCAACCACTCCTCACGTGGCATGGTTCCCTCCCCATCTTTGTCACTTGCCATTGACAGATGCCAATTTGTCTCTTCCTTCTTCCCGTGTGGCACAGTAAGACTGTCCTCTTGATGTCAAGTTGTCATGACATAATCCCAAAGATGCCTTTATTGAGTTCAAATTGTGGTTTTCAGAATCTCTGCACTCTTTGAAATTTTGAATTCAGGTGCTATTCTCCACCTTGAGCTCAGTTTGGTTAGTCAGATGGAGGCTTCTAAAAATCTTTCTAGCTATCAGCCATACCTAGGTCGATTTAAATGGATTTAAGGGTGTACAAAGGTCATCCCATATTTCCAGGCCCTGGTATGCCATGAGTCATAGAAACCTCAGAAAGACTCAGAGTACCCCTCCTGGTCCTTCAATGGCTCCCCAAATCAATCTACAGATCTTCAGTCTTACAAAGAGAACTGCCAATCGTACACCTGAGATCCGAGGGTCACTAACTACAACAGATGCTTCCTCTGTTCAACAATTTGTCCTTGTTGGAAGAAATAAAATATAGTCAACACAAATTGGCTAACCATAAGCAATAAAATGGGGTTGAGTCATTCACTCTACATGGGCTACAAGGACTAGACTAGGTGATGGAGCAAATGAGACCGAATGAGATAGTAAGCATGGCATCAAGGACATACAGTCGTCCCTCGGTATACACGGCGGATTGGTTCCAGGGCCCCCACGTATGTCAAATTCCACACTTACTCTCTTCCCCCAGTGGGCCCTGTGGAATCCACATACACAAAGAGTCTCCATATACATTGGTTTCACATCCCAGGAATACTGCATTTTCCAGGCATGTTTAGTTGAAAAAATCCATGTATAAGTGGACCTGTGCAGTTCAAGCCCATATTGCTCAAGGATCAACTGTAGTTCTTCAAAACTAAAACATAGATATAAATAACTCAAGTAGTAGTCAAAAGTGATCAGTGAGGTACAAGAACTGTGGGAGCTGAGAGAAGAGGTAGGTTTCTTCGGCTGGCGGAGGGGGGGCAGTAGTAGAGAAGACATCGGAAAGGAAGTGAGAATTAGGACAACTTAATGCCCTTTGCTGACAACCACCTCCCTTAACCTACCTAACCCGCCCCCAGCAAAGCATGTTGTTAGCATGAGGTTAAGAGGACACACCTGATGAGAGCATGGGGTCAAATGATCTCCTTTATACACTCCTGAGGGAGGGGACGGGGGAGGTGAGGGCAGTCTAAAGAGGTATGAGGGGAACAAAAGGGACTGTGGCCCCCAAAGAGCCCTAATATCAACCTAAGGAACTCAGGCCTTCCTTGTTCTCATTCATTCATTCATTCAATCTCTCACGTGTTCATCTATTCTTCTCCCTCCCTCCATCTCCCTTCCCTGCTGCCACACACCCAGCAACCCACAAATACAAAGCAAATTCCTACACGTCCCCAGGCCTTAGTTCAGGCATGACTGTATCAGATTCTCATGATTAACCTACTCCCTGCATAGCATGCATTGGAATGCATCACAAGGCCGGGCGCAGTGGCTCACACCTGTAATCCTAGCACTCTGGGAGGCCGAGGCAGATGGATCGCTCAAGGTCAGGAGTTTGAGACCAGCCTGAGCAAGAGCGAGACCCCATCTCTACTGAAAAATAGAAAGAAATAATCTGGACAATATATATATACAAAAATTAGCCAGGCATAGTGGCTCATGCTTATAGTCCCAGCTACTTGGGAGGCTGAGGCAGAAGGATCACTTGAGCCCAGGACTTTGAGGTTGCTGTGAGCTAGGCTGACGCCACCATGGCACTCACTCTAGCCAGAGCAACAGAGTGAGACTCTGTCTTAAAAAAAAAAAAAAAAAAATGCATCACAGTGTGATTTCTCCTTTGTTGACCTCTCTGCCATGTTGTAGCCCCAGGAGGGAAAGAGCTCATTGCTGTGTCCCTAGCACTTAGCACAGAGTCTCAACTCACTAAATAACTGTGGAATGAATAAGACACCTCACAGACAAAGTGGTATCACTGGAATTCCCTAGAATTCTGTAAGACGAAAACTTGATGTGGCCATGATTGCTAACGACTCACCAAAATCCATGTTCTTCGACTCTTTTGGGATACACAGCTACACTAAGTCCCCACCCTTCCTTGTAATCAGGTGTGGCTGAGTTCTGAGTTCTGGCCAATGGAATATTAGCGAATGTGATGTATGCCACTTCTAAGCTGACCCATAAAAATCCTTCCGTGCTTTTCCTCCATGCTCTTTTTTTTCCCTTTGGGTTGGCAGGACTGCAGACAACCTGTACAGGGATCTTAGAAATGGAATGTTGATACCTGGGACCCTGGGCAGAAAAGGGCCACCCCTCTAATCTGTTTATAGGAGAACTGAACTTCATACATCAAATGTCCATCCATACATTTAGAGGTCTATGTGTAACAGTAGTTAACCTATATAACTACTTCAGTGATACAGTTGGATTTACAGCTTAAGTTAGTCTCTCCTAACCTTTACCAGCCAACAACTGTTTGTCACATTTCCAAAGGGAAATCAAGGCCATCCAGAAGCCAGTACAATCTTTTCTGGTATGTGTGATGGAACAAAATTGCTATTTGCTCACAACTGTCAGAAAAAGATAGCAACCTTGCCTTAGGCTTGCCTGGGCTTGGTCCATAGCCACAAAACCGGCTGGGTAGACTCTGCTGATGTCAGAACACTGGACAGCAAGCTTGCCTGCCTGGCCTCGTCTCAGAAGTACAGGTCACATCCCACAGGCTCTGGACAAATGCCCAACTGCCTTCTTGAGTAGTCTGTCCTTGGCCTCTTTTGTGCTTGCCTTGCAAAAAATGTCACAAAACATTGTCCTGTTGTTTTCAGTGCCAGCAGGGGAGAAGCTGCCAAGAGCTTTTGCGAAAAGCCACACCAACCTGCACTGCCATAGGACAACAACCGCACCAAATGACTCTTCTTTGGAATAAAGCATTCAGCCAACAGGATAGGGATACACCTTTAGACATAATTCACTTTCCCGTGGCAAAGCTCCTCTTAGATTAAAGACGCATTTGATGATTTTTGTTGTTTCTACCCAACGCTAGACATTTTAAAGAGAACTCTCCCTGGTACACTTGAGTATTTTGCAACTGAATTACATTAAGAGAATTAGTAGCATGTACCATATGTAATTGCTTGTTCAATTCAGGTCTAGGACATTATGAAAAGGGTAAATCATTGACTTGATCTTTTTTCCTTTTTTAATTGCAGGTTGGTTTGTTGCAAGACCTTCCAGACTCAATGGTCCTTAATCTTTTGGAGGTCACAGATCCTTTTAAGGATCTGATGAAATGCCTTTTCACAGAAAAATATATATGTGCACAAGTGCACACATCTATTACCTGTGACTTCAGAGGGTACACAGAATGCCTAGTGCACCTATTGATCCCAGGTTCAGGGACCCTCTAGGACATGGCTCAGCAAACTTTTTCTCTAAAGGGCCAGGTAGCTTTGTGGGCCACATACAGTCTCTATCACAACTACTCAACTCTGCTGTTGCATTACAAGTGCAGCCACAGATAATATGCAAATGAATGAGCATGGCCGTGTTCCTACAATACTTTATTTATGAACACTAAAATTTGAATTTCATGTAATTTTCACATCACAAAATATTATTCTTGATTTTTTCCAACCATTTAAAAAATAAAAACTATTTTTAGCAGGCATTCTGTAGAAAAAAATGTATGTCGGACCATAGGTTGCCAACCCCTGCTGCAGGGCATGGGTTCTAAATATTACATCTTTATTTTCACTGACTTCTAATTGAAAATTACATTTCCTTCCATTGTGAATATAGGCAACAAACCACAGTAGCATTAGCAGTACCTTCGTTTCTTCTGTCACCAGTAGAAATCACAGGTACGTTCATATCACATTAGAGATGTTGCAGACAACTCAAAATAATTATTATGCTCATCACTAATTTTAAATCATGGTTATTATTAGATCTTCTGTTGTATCTTATTGTTTAAATGTGTTGATGAAAAAGCATATATATATCACAAATTAGATTTTTAACATTTGGATAACTCTATTTCAATATAATTGATTTCCTTTCTAACCCTATATATTTTATTTTACGGGTTTAAAAACAGTATTCTGGCCGGGCGCGGTGGCTCACGCCTGTAATCCTAGCTCCCTGGGAGGCCGAGGCGGGCAGATTGTTTGAGCTCAGGAGTTCGAAACCAGCCTGAGCAAGAGCAAGACCCCGTCTCTACTAAAATTAGAAAGAAATTAATTGGACAACTGAAAATATATAGAAAAAATTAGCCGGGCATGGTGGCGCATGCCTGTAGTCCCAGCTACTCGGGAGGCTGAGGCAGGAGGATCGCTTGAGCCCAGGAGTTTGAGGTTGCTGTGAGCTAGGCTGACACCACGGCATTCTAGCCCGGGCAACACAGTGAGACTCTGTCTCAAAAAAAAAAAAAAAACAAAAATAAAAACAGTATTCTGAGCAGCAGTCCAGAGCTTTCACCAGATACTAAAGGAGTCCACGGTACAGAAAGGGTTAAGAGCCCTTCCCTGCTCCAGGCTAACAAACCACAGCATCTCTTACCAGGGCATTCACATCTTCGGTCTTGTGGATGAGCATCCGTATCTCCTCTGGATCACCGCTGAAGATTGCTTGGACCAGTGGTGGCTGCAAACACAAGAGAATGAGAATTAGAACGACAATCAATATATTTGATTGCATTCAGATACAAATGGTGAGAAGAGGACTTTTTTCCCCTAAAAGTTTATCCAATATTATCAATCGGCAGATGAAGATGAATAAGACTCAGACCTACCCTCCCTAGAAGTGCAGTGTGGGAGAAATTTATATAAAGAAATAACTATAATATGATCTGAAGGCCATGACAGATAGTCACATCTAACCTGGAGCTATGAACTAAAGTGAGTGTAACATGAAAATCACCCATAGTTGAAATTTTTGTTGATAAACACTTAAATTCTGACAAGGAAACCACCAAATATGTGGTTTTGTGTATATAGTTCCTGTATGGACTGAATTGTGTCTCCCCAATATTCATATGTTGTATGCTGTAACCCCCGATGTGACTGTATTTGGAGATAATTAAGATGAAATTAGATCATAAAAGTGGGACCCTAATCTGAAAAGATTCACGTTCTTATAAAAAGATGACAAGACACCAGAGCGCTCAAGCTCCCCTGTGCCTTCATACAGAAGGAAAGGCAGTTTCCCCAACTTGTCTGATCATAAGAATCATCCAAGATGCTTATTAAAATAATGTTCCCAGATTCCTTTCCTGGGGATTCTGATTTAATACCTCTGGGGTAGGGGGCCTGCAAATCTATTAATACATTTTTAACAAGTGCTCACCTAATTCTTAGGAGTTGGCAGCAAACACTGGCCTCAGGTAAAATCAGTAGCATCACCTACCTTGACCTCTCCCTGTGCTATCTACTTGGGAATCTGAGTCTTCATTTTCCTTCTAAACCTTCTTTTCTTTTTTTTAACCCTCCTATTACCTATTTTACAGGTTTTGATGCTGTTTATTGTTAGTTTGGTGGGCCAAAATAAATATTATCAGTAGGATATAGTAAGATTCCTTGAGGAAACACTATATAAAAAATGTCAAATTGCAGATGAATATCTCAATAGGCCATGAATTTGCCCAGGTGTTTCCCCTCTGCCATAAAAGTTTCCAGCAAATGGACAGGTGTATCTCTTTTATCCCCCAAGATGTTCTGTCAATTCTGCTTCTTGCCAAGGTGTATAGATAGTTTCTCAAATTGCTAACAATTACATAGCTGTAAAGAAGTCTTAAAAAGAATACAAGCTGTCCACTAGTTCAGTCTTAGCTGGTTGCTCTACCTAAAGACAAGGGTGTCCTTCCATGCTCTTCCTGACGAACCAAGTCTCCAGGTTACATCTGCCCGATGGTGAGAACCACATTTCACACAAGACACAGAGTTAGACACAAATTCAGGGCTTCGACAAAAATATTGAATCTTGTTCATCTGATTCATATTTATCTATCTGCTGTGGCTTGTGGCCAAATGCTCACATATTCATTTCTGCCTTTTTGAATCTTAAGAGAAAACAAACAACAAACCCCAACAACCATAGGACCTTAAATAGAAGTAGAGTCTGACAAGATTTTAGGGTTAAATCAATAGTGGTCAATCAACAGTTGAGAAGTTAAGATTCTAAGGAATCAACCTAACCCAGGAGTGAATACACACTAGTTAGTCACTTTAAGGGAACACAATGAGGTGAGCAGAGCTTCCTACTCCTGAGTGTAAGCGAAGCTTGCAGATATTCTGTTGCACTCACTCAGTCCTCACACTTCTCAAGGAAGGCAAGCATGCCAAGTTATGGCTGGAATGTTCTCAAAAAGAGCACCCTGACAAAGCTGCCAGAGAAGAATGTCAGCACCAGTCCCTTCGCTGGGAGTGGTGTCTAGACCTTCCCAAAGACCTCTGGGCCTAGTGCTGCTAAAAGCTACTTTGTAGAGTATTGTCAATGCACAGAATTCCTGGAAGCCATTGGGAAGAAGACTCTGAGCTACTGTTGTAACCCTTCCAATGCTGCAGTTGCACATCTGCATACATATACCCACATGTATATTCACTATCCATACTCATGCACATATGCGTAGAGATACATGTTGATTCACACACAAACCCCTTCCACTCTCTGTGGAACAGGAAACTGCCTATTCTCCACAGCCCAGAGCCTTGCTAGATGGACATCTCTAGCCCCAGCTATGCTGCATGGCCACTGTGACATCATTGTCTTTACAACTATAAATCCAAGCATCGTGGGAGTCCAAAACGGAACTTCACAGATAACACACTTTGCTTGAATTGAAGCTGTGTGTCTGCATGGATATAATTCTTGAACTAAATTACTGTGAGTCTTGAGCAAGTAGAATTTATTTATTTATTTTATTTTATTTTTTTTGAGACAGAGTCTCACTCTCTTGCCTGGGCTAGAGTGCCGTGGCATCAGCCTAGCTCACAGCAACCTCAGACTCCTGGGCTCAAGTGATCCTTCTGCCTCAGCCTCCCAAGAGGCTGGGACTACAGGCATGCGCCACCATGCCTGGCTAATTTTTTCTATATATTTTTAGTTGTCCAATTAATTTCTTTCTATTTTTAGTAGAGACAGGGTCTCGCTCTTGCTCAGGCTGGTTTCGAACTCCTGAGCTCAAACAATCCTCCCGCCTCGGCCTCCCAGAGTGCTAGGATTACAGGCGTGAGCCACCACGCCCGGCCTAGAATTTATTTTTTAAACATTATGCATGTTTCTTTTTTTGTTCTCCATACTCCCAAATAAAACATGCCCAGAGAGCACATTGGCATTCCCTTTTGTTGGAATTTTAATCCAATCCTGCTGTTTTATTTTCCCCCAGGTAAACACTTAACCTGAGAATAAATATTTGGAAAAAGATATATCTAAATACTGTCTGCATTGCATGATTTTTTTAAAGAGAGAATATTCTAATTACAATATTCTTGCTCATAAATATCAAGGATTTATATATTCTGTTGACCATTGATTTGGCAACCATTATAATTTTTGTAGCTTTTGCCTTAACCTTGATAAGGCTTAGAAGTAAAGCCTTACCTATCCAAGAGCAGAGACCTAAGCCTTGGCATATGAAGGTATTTCTTTTAGAAGTTTCACACATTTCAGCCCTAGCATATACAATGCAAGAGTGCTTTGTGTGCAATAGGCTACAAAACTGAATAAACACAAAATCATAACAGGGGTTAAAACTGTGAAAAATAAATAGTGGCAGGGCAAAAAAGGAGATTCAGATAGCAAGAAATCATTGATGATCATTCCATAAAGAAATATAAATTCTTAAGAGAGGTATGCAGTTATTTCAGCTTCAATTGCTAAAATTTTCCTAGCATGCTTAGGAGCTGTAAACTGGAAATGATTACCATATGCTCCAAATATCAACACAGTCCCTCACCTAGATTCTCAAGGCAGAAGGATATTTCCTGGGCCTAATTTACCGATAGCACAAGTGGAATTTGTTTTTCAAACGCGACCTGTCCTTGTCTTTCAACATCACCAATTACCAGCCTCCTACTCCTTCTTCCAGGAGTGTTGAGGGCTGCCTTCTAGAGGTGACTGTCTGCCAGGCTGCTAACTTGACCCCTCTAAGACAGAAGTGCAGAACAGAGGGGCCCCTTGAATTTGGCAGCCATTATAAATTTTACAGCTGACCTTACTAACACTAGGAACTGAAACCTTATCAGGAGAAAACCACTTTCTCTACCCATATCCCCTATCACCTCATCCAATTAAATATTTTTTTGTCTTTTCTCTCACACTAAAAACAAACTGAAAATACTTGATTTCCAAAACTAAGATGCTAAATCAAATGTACTAGCTATAGTTATTCTCAAACTTTGAAATAGAGTTACAATTCCACTAGGGGGAGCAAGATGGTAACTTGTTACCTGGGAGATAAAAGTAAAGGCTCAGGTTGTGTAATTAAGGGAGTGAGGGAGTTGAAGGATCCACTTTATTCAAGACAGAGAAGAACTTAAACTTCTGAGAGAGTTCTTAGTAATAAGTAAACGCATACACCATGTACCATCAAACACACACAAAAAATTTCCTATCAATCCCTGAGGGTTCAGGTTTTTAGGAAATAACAATAAAGCTATCTAAAACCCAGGTATTTAATTATCATTTTCATCATCTGCAAACTCCGAATCAATTATTTCCTCAATTCCACTAAAAAAATGTTACTACTAGTGCATCAGACACACCCTCCATTTCAGAATGAAGCCATCACAGGTTCTACAGAGAGAGCTTGGCTAGTTAGAGTACCCACTCCGGCCAGCAGTGATGTCACCAATCCCACCAGCACCACCTGGCAAAATCCCCTAAGGAAACCACCATTCTGATTTTTGCTAAAACCACTGTACAGTGCACTTCACTTTCCCTTTGTCAGAGCTGCATGCTCCTGACTAATAAATTGGCTTTGGAAGATGAGTAGAGTGACAAAGGCTATTGCTGAGCGTAACTACAGCCAATGTTTAATAAGCCCAAGAAGCATCCAGAAGATGCTCCAGAACTTCCTTCCAAATTCCTAGTGTGCTGCTTATCTTTTTCTGCTTAGACTAAGTAAAGACTCTAGGTCTAAAAGAAAACATCTTACATTCTAATCAGGAGTGGGTATTGGGAATCAATCAATACCCGAGAAGGAAAAACTGATATTCCTAAACATCTGTCCATACTTGAGCATTCTGAGTACAGTGTGTCATTAAAGCAAGAAGGGCGCGTGTTATTAGTAGCTAATAGCTGATGCAGCAATAATCTGGCCATGTGAAGCCATCAACTTATATGAACAAGCTGAAACACTCCATTAGGTAACAACTGGTTTTTGTATGAGGCAGCGCTTGAATTTTTGCAAAAGGATAATAAAAATGTGATCGAGTCACTAGATTTAATGGACAAAACTTGCTAGCTCTATTCATGTGGGTCCTGCTGTGTGATCTGCCATTAAGGATTTCCTGAATTTAGATCACTCTTTACCTGGGGAGACGTTCACTCCATCACAGAAAGATAATGATGGTCATAAAATCAAAATCTGTTACTCTTAAGTACCATCAGAACTATATGAAATACAGCGAGTCCTCATAAACATT